ATAACTACAAAAGTATGTTATTTTATTTTATTTTTAATAAATATACTCTGCGTATAAAAATATAACTACAATAATATAACTACAATTTATTGGATGAATATATAATGTTGAATCTAGAATTTCAATGTTATATTATTTATTTAATAAATTTATTCTACATATAAAAATATAACTATAACAACTTGGTTTATTACGTATAAAAGAATCTGATTTATAATGTACAAAAAATCTTGATTTATGATGGATACAAATTCAATCCTATGATTATCAAGACCATTGTAAAATGTTTCAAAATTATTCACGTAAATATTTTCAAAAAGAAAAATTATCTTTAAAAGTAGAATGTTACAAAAAGGATGGTGAAAATTTCAAACATGTTAATAAATTCAATTCAACATCAATGAAAATATAATAGTTCAAAATATTTATACAAATATTTTAAAACAATTTATATATAGAAAAGTAAGACTTTTATATTGACTTGTAACAACTACTCCATTCTTATTTGCACGAATATTGCTAGGTCAATGCAATTTTTTCTTCAATAGTGTAATTCATATTTTTAAATATTTATTAAATACAATAAAGAGTAGCTTGTTTGCTTTAAATGGACCTAAAATTTGGAGCCCAATAAGTCATACTACCATTGCTATACCGATCAGTTGATCTGTCTCCATTCGTTTCCTATGAAAAATTGTCGATCTCTGTGCAGTGTAAACAAGAATTGACAAAACTCACTCAGTGTTTTGTCGATCAATGATTCAACACTAGAAGTACTCGACAAGTTATTTACAAACGAACGCCAAATACTTGCAATGACTTTGATATCTTGATGATTTGCTTGCAAGGACTATTACAACATTGTTTCCGTACAACTTTTCGCGCGATTATTATCAATTTTGCCGCGAACGAAAGTAGAATATGTACATTTCTAATGAAACTAACTTGAAGAACCCTTTTTCATTACCTTATACCAAAAAAAAAAAAAAAAAAAATGAGGCAACTTGTTAAACATTTCAGTTTGGATGCATCTGGAAAACCGTACCACGATGCTCTAACAGAGACATCCTATCGATGCCTGGTAGATGATGTTGGTCGTGTGGGCCAAGCCCACAGCTGGTCTCTTGAAAATGGGCCGTGGATAAATTGCTGCTGGTCGGGCTGAAGCCCAAGACTGCTCCATGGGGCCCTTTCTTTTCGAGCGAAGGGGATTTGATCTCGTCGATATTAACAGTCGTGATGTCGTGTATGCTCGACCGCTTCTTATCCTTCCCTCCAGAGAGTTGCCGGATAAAGTACTTCTGGGCGTGGCTCGCGACTTGGGTCGGGGTTCGTGTGGTCACAAAATTACGAGATATGTTTCGCCAATCGCCTTTACCGTACTTTTTGAGTCCCAATAGAAATTGTCTGCAAATTTTTAAAAAGAAAACATATCAAGTATTGATTTACCATCACCAAATAGAAGAGAAGGACAATAATGCAGAATGACAATTAACAACCATGCATACATACATAAATCCCACACAAAACCGAGAAAAGGCAATACAAGAAAAACATATACTATACATTTATTTAAGGCAAAATTGCATTTTTAATCTTGTTGGTTTAACATCATAGCAAATTTAGTCCCAAAATTCAAATATATCACATTTTGGTCATGTGATTTAATGTTTCGCTGCAATTTCAACAAATTTTCATATTCCCGGAATTTCGATTTAAGTCTTATAATTTAAAATTTTGTTGCAATAACTTGAGTCCTAAAATGGGTAAAATTGCAGGAAAATGTTAAATCATAGGACCATAATGCAAAAATAATAGAACTTTGGGACTAAAATTGCAATGGTTTTAAACTAACATGACTAAAAATGCATTTTTGCCTTTATAAATCTAGGGAGGTTTTCAAATATGATCACTTTCAATACCAAGCCACTAATAGAGAAAATTAGTTTTATTTATCAACAATTAATTCTTTGAATTTCTACTATCATTTGATTAAAAAAAAAAAAATCTCCTTTCTCACTTAGATTTTCATTCTTTCTCATAAAAAAAAAAAAAAATTAAAATGCAAGTAAAAAACAAGTCCAACCTATGTTCTTCTTCAGTCCAAGGCACTCCCTTCTTGCGCTCGTGATCAGCACACCGGGCCGACGAGCCCCTCTTCCAGCCCGGGCCGTAAAAGCCCTTCAAGCCCGCATACTCATGGCCACTCATCCACTCCAGGGCAAGAGAATTATTACCAGAATACCCCGGTATTGGGATCAGCCCAGCCTCGATATCGCCGACATCATCGACTAGCTCCCGATACTGCCTGATGACATCACCCACCGTCTTACCGGGGATCATGGCCGCCACATTGTGCCACCTGTCGGGTGTGTCCTTGTCGAACAACGCTAACGCGTTCTCGAACCTCTTGTTCTCCTCAGGAGTCCAATTCGAGACCGAGCTCCCTTCGAAAAGCCAGCTTGAGGCGAGTACCAACTCATCATCGTTCATCATCTTGTCTAGTTCATCAAAAGGGAAAGCCCCAGTAAAAAAACAAAACAGGTTTTTTATGCTTGAGTTCGGTCAGGCATTACGTCGAGCACTTGGTGGGCAATCAAGAAACTGGAGAGATATGAAACATGGCTAAAGATGCAGGGGAACCTTTGAAAGATTAAATAGTATAAAAATATGAAGCAAAAGAACAAAATCAAAGCTGTCTAGCAATGGCTGATGGGAGGAAGATAAGGATGGCACAATTCGTAACTAAATCGACACGACTACTGCAGAATTACAGAGGATTTTCCCAATATAAATATCAAGAAAGAAAAAAAAAGCATATTTTATTATCATGAAGGGGACAAGATGATAAAAGGTCCAAATCGATTTTTGTACTTTGCTGTGTTTGCTGAAAATGATGCTAACGAGGACTGAAAAAATAAATAAATAAAATAAAATCGAGCTCGACTCGAGATTGACTATAGCTCGAGTTTGGTATTTTTTCGAGCTGAATTAAATGAACTTAAGCTCGACTTGTTGATCAATATTACAGACCAAACACAAACTTCAACTAAACGAGACTTTCAAACATTAAAAAATATTGAGTTGAACTGAATTGAAGAACGCCTTGTTTTATTTATTTTTTGGTACAGGGACCTTCCGGTTTCCGAATCTACAGGGGAACCGACTAATCCGGAATCGAGCCGGGTAGGACCACAAGGGCGGCAAAGCTCTCCCTCAAGAGTTTTAACACTGCTGCATTCCCAGGGCTCGAACTCGAGACCACTGGTTAAACTGGAAGAGACCCAAGCCATCTCATCCAAGTGCTCTTGGGTGCCTTCTTTTATTTGTTAAAAAAAAAAAGTAATAATAATAATAAAAACAAAAAAGTCTACAAAGACAGAGAATGGGACAGGAAAATGGTGTCAGTTGGTGATAGGTTGGAAGGTGTGAAGTGGGGCCCACAAGCTGACTGGAATAAATTATTTTTTTTCAATCTTTGCCTAATCAAATCAAAATTCAGAGAAAATGAATGACAAAATGTCATTGTTGGGTGAGGGGTGTAAGTGTAAATTCATGTCAAGTATCATTTCATTCGAGTCGAGTCGAGTCGAGTTGGGTGTGCTCTAAACAATGAATGAACCAGTCGCTGGACTCGTTTAAATTGGTGAAATCTCGGCTCAATTCGTTTAAATAAAAGAAAAACTTTGAACGAGTTATTCGTGAATATTATAGTTACCCGGTTATTTCATTAGAATTTCAACATAAATTTCATATCGTCCAAATTCCAACAAATAACTGTGCATATATAATTATAACATTGAAATGTTCATTATAGTTACAAGAATTACAATGTGAATGTCCATTAGATATACGACTGAGCATTGAAATTTTGTTGCAATATATTGCTTGGAATTTAAAGATTTTTTAGTGTTATTTAATATTAATAACAAAAATTAATTCATTAAATACTCCAATATATTCAACTATTAAATTATTAGAAGTTCAGCTGCCCAAAGTTCATTGTACTTAACTACTTGATTGTTATTATACTATACACAACTCAATAAGCTCTATATTTAATTTCTTTGAGGTCTGTTGAGGCATAAATTGCTCGAGTCAAAGTCAAAGTTCATGATACACGAGATCGGACCCAAGGTATTATCGAGTTCAGTCAAGCTTCAATCGTTTAAGAAACGAATTCGAAATTAACTTGCTAATGATCAATATAAACAAATTGAATTCGAGCCTCAGTAAATCGAGCTGATCAAACTCGACTCGTTTATCAGCTGAGATATATGGCTCGTTTCTCGTTTGGTTTAACAAATCCAGTAATTACAATTCCTTGTTGTTGCTATTGTCGTATGCGTGGTATGTTCATGCCCTTATTTGAAAGTTGTTGTAAATTGGAGTCCTCAATATTCACCAAGCATCCATCAATCAACCAAGCATAAAAGATGTGTAGTAAAGAACAAGAAAAGAGAAGCAGAAAAAGTGTCTCTATTATTCATCGGTATTCACTCTTTTATAGAGTTTACAAAGGGAGAAACCCTAAAATCTAATCCTACTAACTAATGGACTTCAGGCCCAATTATATATATTAGTAATGTCCATATTAATATATTTATAACACTCCCCCTTGGACATTACTACATGCCTCATTAAAAACCTTGCTAATAAAAACCCAACTGGGGAAAAACGAATTAGTCAAGGGAAAAAGAGTACATGATTTATAAAAATTCATGTGTTTTACTAGCTGCCTCGTCAAAAACCTTTACTAATAAACCCATTGGAAAAAACTTAGTTAAAGGGGAAAAAGAGTACAGCATTTGGTCTTCAGGACCTAATCTTCGGGATTATTTTGAGTTTTTCCCTCCCCCTGAAGACAACAGTCTTCCCAGTTTACGCATACCAATACCATAAATATATTTCTCAAAAGTAGATGTAGGAAGGGATTTGGTGAAGAGGTCTGCCAAGTTCTCGCTAGACCTTACCTTTTGTACAATGATCTCACCGCTCTTCTGGAGCTCGTGTGGGTAAAAGAATTTTGGAGCAATGTGTTTTGTCATGCTTCCTTTGACATACCCACTACTAATTTGTAAAACACAAGTTGCATTGTCCTCATAAAGGACAGTGGGGGTTATATCATTTGTCATTCCACATGATCCACGAATATGTTGGATTAAAGATCTTAACCATACACATTCGCGTGAAGTCTCGTATAAAGCAATTATTTCTGAATGGTTTGAAGATGTAGTAACCATGGACTGCTTGACCGACTTCCAAGAGATTGCAGTACCACCACAAAGAAAAACATAACCAGTCTGTGATCTAGCATTATGGGGATCAGACATATAACCAGCATCTGAATAGCCTACCAATGTCATATCTTGATTTTTCTTATAAAGTAAACCAAGATCTTG